TATTTTCATTATCATAATGGTTGGAGAATCTAATAAATATAAAATGTGTAAATTATAAAGGAATATTTCTAAATTTAGCAACTTAAATGTGTAATCAATTATAATTATATAATATATACTATTCTTTTTATACAATTTTAGCATTAATACCTTAATTAATAGTAAATTAAATTTCCAAATAATTTATTATTGTGTAAAATATTGAAAATATTTATTTACTTTTCTCAATAGCTATGATTTTAAAATCAACTAGAGGTTTGCAATATTTTAATTTTTTTGTTAATATGCTGAAGTTAGACCATAATACAATTTAAAATATAAATTTATATATTTCAAAATTGTAAATAAAATTTCAATATTATAATAAAAATAGCGTAAAATTACTTTTCAAAAAAGAGTAGCGCGTTAACGTAAAAGCTACTATTAAAAATAGCACTCTATCGTTAAAGCTACAAAGATATTTGCGCCGTTGTAACAAACCTGCTTATTGGCTAGGCATGGGGAGGTCCTCCATGAAAAAAATGGAAATTTTTTAATTTTACTTTAATTTACTATTAATAAAATAAATGCTTAAAATTTAAAATACAACTATTTTTATTTTAATTAATAAATAATAATTTTGATCTACAGTATTTGATTCTTTTTATATTTTTTAAATAAATTTTAAATTATCTTTTAAAAAACTTGTCTAGTTTGCCATATTTCTTTTTAAAAAAGAACTACTTTGGCAATTTCATTATGTCATTAATTTATTCTATTACAACAAATATTAAGTACAGATATGCCGCAAGTCTATTTGACTACTTTTTATGCCGCTATTAAATATAAAAGCATCAAGGCTATAACTAGACCTGTGGTATTTTTATTCACGCCGGGCGGCACGGCGTGTGCAATTTTTAGAAAGCATATTAATTATATTTTTATATTAAATTATTATTATTTTAATTTGAATACTAACATTAAATCTAATTTATAATTTGTTTCATTCCAGCCCTTATTATTTTGATGTTTTTTAAATATCTTTTTAAAGTATTATTCAATATATAATTTTTTAAAACTTTATTTTAGAAGAAAGCTTATTAAAATTTTAATTATGATTAGTCCCTATAAATATATACTTGTATATATTTATATATTTATTAGTTTCCTTTTTGAAATTTGTTTCATTCCAGCTCTAATTATTTTGTTTTTAAATATCTTTTAAAATATAAACTTAATATACAATTTATTAAATTAATTATGTAAAGCTTTATTTTGAAAGTTAAATTTTAATTTTTTTAAATATCTTTTTAATGTTTAAAATAAATATGAAATCTAATAGGCGAAATTATGTTTTGATGTCTGCTTAGATTTAATGCCATTTGATTCTATAAACAATAAAGGAAGGACAGACTTTCTAAAGGTTTAAAATTTATATAAAATGATTATTAAAAAATAAATTGTTCAAAAATTAGAAATATAAGATAATTGATTCCTCGTCAGAATTGCCAAATAGGACAACCATTAGTCGGGGTGCACTAGACGATGTTTATTTATCTATAAAGGCGCATGTTTTAAATTTGATTGACTCTGGACCAAAATTTTGTTCTATCACTTTTGATTTGTGGACCGATCATTTCAAGCGTCGAAATTATATCACATTTAGTCTTCATCATTTAGATGAAAATTTTGATTAAAAATATTTTACCCTCAACTAGAAATGTGACTGAAAAGCATACTGGGGAAACAATATTATCTGAGATTGATAGTATTGAAGAGGAGTTCCATTTAAAAGCCAAAATAATACAAATGGTAACTGATGCTGGGGCCAATGTCAAAAGAAGAGTCAGATTAGGGGATTATGAGCATCATTTATGCTTAGGGCATGGACTTCATAATTTGGTTAGAGTTGATGGCATAAAAAAAATTACCAAAATTGATATTTTCATTAAAAAAATTAGAGAAATTATTTCAGCCCTCGGATATCGAGTAGCTGATTTGGAATGTGAAATTGAGGCTGAACATGGTAAATGTCTGCAGTCAATTTATGAGACAGGTAATATCTTGGATATTGATGATTCTGATCCATACCTTGATGACCATTTTGATATGTCTGATGAATCGGATAATAGAAATGGCATTGCACCAACCAATATAATTAATGCAAAAACTTTAAAATTAAATTGCCCTACCCGCTGGCATAGCATATTAATTATGCTAGAAAGTGTTCGCAGTGTAAACAAAATTCCTATAAATAATGTTCTAAATAAAATAGGAAAACAATCTTTAAAACTCTTTAATAATGAATTGGATATGATAGATGAGCTTTAAGCAGTATTAAATCCATTCCGAGTCAGTGGAATTTCTTTCCTCCCAAAAAAAATTTACAATAAATTTAGGGTTATTATTTCGCAGTGAAATAGAAGCTCATGTACAAATCAATAAATCTGATTGCTCAGATATAATATTCTCAAAAGAAAATATGAAAAAAAAGCTTGACCATAGGTTTCCGATCACTGAACTTTAGTTATTTTATATTTTTATTAATAAAATTATATTCTAAACATTAGATATTAGCAACTCTACTTGATCTAAGATTTCAAAATCTCAATATTGTTTCACAATATTTAAATTCAAATTCCACGACATTATTGCAATTTCTAATACATTTAAAACTTTTAGAGCATGATAGAAATGCTCAGCGTGAAACAAGTCGAGGATGGTACATCATGCTCTTATATAGCGAAATTAGCTTGAAAACATTCCCCCTATTAACGATTATAACAATATTACTAATCTTCAACAAGAATGTCATATTTTGCTCAGCCAAAATATTATTCCAGAAGAGGATGCATTGCTCTTTTGGAAGAAAAGGCGACTGGAACTTCCTATGCCTGCTAATTTAGCTATAACCAGTACACCCAGCGAAAGAATTTTTTCCATTGCTGGATTAATACTCAATGCTAAAAGGAGTTCTTTATGTCCCACAAATCTAATACTGTTTATTCATGACAATTATAATTTTGCTAAATCTGAATTCTGACTTATTATATTTCATACTTCATATTTTGCCTGCATTCCAAATTTATATAATTATAATAAAAATCAATAGAATATTTCTTATATGTGTTGTTGATATGACTCTAATTGAGTAAAAATAAAAATACAATTCCTTAGTCTATTTCTGAGAAAGAGAAAATACATAAATTTAAATTGGAGTGAGACAGGAAAATTTAAGATCAATTAAACTATATTAGTAATGTGTCAGAAAAGATCGCCTACATAAATTATAAAAAATGTAATACATTAATTTATAAATTAAATTCATTAAAAAATATACTGATTTATAAATTAAATTCATTAAAAAAAATTTTAAAATAAATATTGCGCCGCCGCCGCCGAAAATTTAGTAGGCGGCGGCGAAATCGGCGTGCCACCGAACGCCGATAAAAAAAATTTAAAAAACCGCCGCCGTTGATTGAGACATCGGCGCACAGGTCTAGCTATAAACATATCAATCTCATATTTTAAAAGATGACAGGATTTTTTATAATGATAGTAAAACATATTTTTAATTTTTTAATTGCTATTGTGCTTCTAGAATCATTCTATCTTGAATCTTGGTATCTAGCCTACTTTAGAATTAGTGCTTTCAAAATCTTATTTATATCAAATTTTTGAAAATATAACTCGATATAAATTAATTCCATTTTTATCAAGCAAACTGAAAAGAAAAAATACTGTCTACGAAGATCATAGAATCATAAAATTCAAAAATATCTTGAATTGGGGAAAGTGAAACCTTAATATATTCAGTTAATTGAATTTTTGAATCGTAATTAAAAATTCGTCAGCTTAAGACGTGCCGTAATTTTTATTTCGCTTACAACTGAGTTTTATTTATTAGCTAAAAAACTGATCCATGAACAAATAATTACTAATCATGTATTACATATTGTTCAATATTTCTATAATTTTCCTTTTAGCATGATGCCAATCTTGGCGATTTATTTTATTTTGTCTAAAATGTTTTACTTTAAACTATCTACCAAACGGGTTGTTAAAGAAGTATGAAATACGTGCTAATTATTGGCATAAATTTCCGAGATAATGCTTCAAGATGTTTGACTAACTTTCGATTAAGCATGATATCATAGTTAGTTTTTGGTTCATAATTCAGTTATTTTTTAATGACTGGGAAATTGATTAAAGAATTAATGAGGCTAAATATTAACGCCAACTAGATAATTAGAATTTTTTATTCTCCGTTCAGGCATGGTGCTAACTTTGACTTTTTTTTATTTTTTACAAATAATTCTTTTCCTCCTAACCAACCCAAAAATAATAAACCATAAAATATAATAATAAAGCCCTACTTAATGGTTTAGTGTAAGTCCGAATTAGTGTTTCCAAAAGCTTGGCTCACTTCAAGCTGAAAGCGTGACATCATAGTTTTTATTTTGTTTATAACTCCGTTTCTTTCTGTGGTTCTTATATTTGAGTGAGGAATTGAAATTACTAGTAAGGCATTAAATATTAACGCACACCTAATATATAGTTTTTTATATTTCCCATTTTAGCATGATATCTATTTTGACAATTTCGTTTTTTCTTTTTACTGTCAACCAAATGAATTAAATTAATATACAATTATTAAAAATCGATAAAATTTACTGAATAAACGCTTTCAGTCACTTTTTAATCTATGTTTGGCCAAAATCTTGTTACTAATAATTTTCTTTTATACTGGATACTATACTGAGTTCAGACACTAATAAAGAATAAAACACTGCGATATTTTAGAACTAGGGCTTGTTCAGCCAACTTAACGGAGATTATATAAAAACCACCGAAAAATTAATAATATATAAGAATTTTTTATAGTAGGGAGCCAGCCGAAGGCCAGGCAAAACGGAATCCCCTCCATTAGAATCCTGGCTACGCCATTGACACTGTTAGTATTATAATTTTAAGTACGTCACTATGATAATTGAAACATTAAAACTAAAAATTCAGTTTACTCGTAACCAAGTTTATCTGATTCCAGCAGGTATTTGAGCACGATATCTTTGAGTCCAATCCATTTAATTTCATCTAATGGTGATAAATCATAATATTTATTATTATATTTCTTGTGGCTTGGTTTAGATACATCCAGAGGGGACTTCGAAAATTGAGAAGAAAAATATCTCAATAAAAGATATAATGTTTCCGATGCCTTTTAAAAAAATTAGCATATTTATATTTTAAGAACTTATGGATTGAGTCGGATGATAAAAAAAATACTTTCAAAATATATTATTAAAAGAAGCCCTAAATGTTCAGTAGTATATAATCAAGCTTAAACTATAACACCAATGGGTTTAACATCTAATTTAAAATTGAGGATTACTTTTCTTTGGTGTAACAAACGATACTGAGTTTAATAATACAAATAACGTTGAGCTAGAGGTTTTAAATAATATTAAAGACCGTTGAAATATATTAGAAATACTATTATTATCCTTCCATTAAGGAAATTTTTTAAAAATTTAATACTGTTCATCGGTAAAGGCTAAATTATTTGAAAAATTGATTATCTTAAAAAATAATGTTTTGATTTAATCATATTAAATACTCTTTTGCCAATTTATTTAAACTCCGAATAAAAGTACTAGTATCCCTTCCCTCTCTATGCTATGAATGGGCTAAAACTAATATTAAAATGCCTGTTTATTATAATTTACTCGTCATCAGTAGCGTAACTGGAGGAAGGGGGGAAACGTAGGGGCTCGAGCTCCCTGAAAAATTTGAAGATCCCCTTCAAAATATTTAATTATTTTTATACCACTAATAAATAAAGGTAAGTATAATTGGCAATGATAATTTTATAAAAATATTTTGTATTTTAGATACTCTCATTTAGTTAAAAGATATAAATATATTTAAAATTTTTGATATTATAAATAAGATACTAGTATCTGTATCTAAGATCCTTTTTTATAACGAATCTGTATCTGTATCTAGAATATTTTTTCGGAGAACCTGCCTAACTCTGGTCATAAATTATAATCCGATTGTATAATAATGATCATATGGAGGGTGTTATGATTGGGAGATAGTCCCTCTACTCTATTGCAATTCATAATATATAAGACTGTAATTCAAATGAACCAAATATAATTTACATGAATATGTAAATTAGAGGTATGCATTGGGCGGGTTTTTGGACCAAAAGCCAGCCCACCCAATGTTTTAAAAAAATATAACCTGCTCCTCAGCCCGCCCAGTTTTCAATAAAATTCCTTACCCGCCCGCCCATTATTTATAAAAAATTTAACCCAAGCCCGCTTATAAAATTTAATTATGGCCATTCTTTCAATTTTTTAAGTATTTAATAAAAATATTTCAGTATTACACTTCTACAAAATGTTTATAATTTAGGAAATAAATTTAATAAAAAAAATAATCAATTTAAATTATGGACAATTTATTTGATGAAATAGAATATTTATGAAAAAAATATAAATATAAAATTGATATTATATGTAATTATAATGCAAAAATAATAATGAATTGACATTTTCTGGATTCAAACACGTTCTTCTTTGTTCTGAAAACCTTCAAAAATGATGATAGAATAACAAGCGAAAATAAAACAGTGAAATATATAAGAATGACACATTAACTCTATCAAGAAAAGAACTTAGAGAGGAAACCGCAAAAGATCCAATTTTAGGAAAGTAAAAATATTAATAAATGGTACAAATATACAAAATCAAGCACCAGAATTACAAGCTTTTAGAACAAGAATAAATGAAATAGAAAATGATGACGGTATTTTATTTTGGAATGCCGTACTCACTTCAAAAAAGAGTTTTACATATATTGCATACGGGACATCCGGGTATTACATCAATGAAATCCATTATGAGACATTATATGTGGTGGGTCGAAAAACTCGTAAACAGCTGTAGTGGATATCAAAAACAATGCAGAGATATACCAAGTGTTGCCGCATACCAGGGGAATCCGCAATCACAACCCCGAAAAAGGGAAGAAGAAAAAGAAAAAATCGTAGGAAAACATGCCGATCAATACTAACAATGGAAGAACCAGTTGAAACCGAATCAATATAAACAATTGACAATAAAAAGCTAGGAGATGATAAAACAGTAGAAACAATGGAACCAAGTCAAGAAGGAATTCAAGATATCCAACGAGAGAACGAAAGCCAAAAAAAATTAATAAATGGTACAAATATACAAAATCAAGCACCAGAATTACAAGCTTTTAGAACAAGAATAGATGAAATAGAAAATGATGACGGTATTTTATTTTGGAATGGCAAATTAATCATTCCGTACTCACTTCAAAAAAGAGTTTTACATAAATTGCATACGGGACATCCGGGTATTACATCAATGAAATCCATTACGAGACATTATATATATTGGGAACAATTAGATAAAGATGTAGAAAAACTAGTAAAATGTTCTTCACTTAAAAAAACGATTGGTACTATAAAAAAATAAATATTATTATTGATCATTTAATTAATTATGATTTTTCTTTAGTTTGTTTTTGGACAAAAATTTTAAATTTCTTTAACCCACCGGCCCATTGTTAAATTTCTTAACCCGCCCACCCACCCGCCGGCCCATAGTTTCAAAATATTTTTTAACCTGCCAGTTCGCCTGCCCATTCTCAAAATTTTTTACCCGCCCATTTAGATGGAAGGGTGTAGGCGTGCGGACCGAAACCCCGCCCAATGCAGACCTCTAATGTAAATATCGTAAATGAGAAAAATTTCAAATAGAATAAAGGTTTAAATTGTAAACATGTTATTTTTGTCTACCTTATAAAGATGATTGTTTGATAAATGGTTTGCAGGTATTGAGCTGAAAGGAGATGGCAATATTTGTAATACATCGCTATATAAATCTTTCTATAATAGTATATTTTTGTAAATGAATTAAAAATATAAAATATTTAGATAAATATTCTCAACCTCATAGATTTTTTTAAATATTAAAATTATAATCAGCATTCATTAAATATCGGTTGATAAAATATTTTGAGAAAGATAAATATCCAATTTAGCTGGGTATGTAATTGAGCAATGCCACAAATATTCGTAACTAATGTTTTTAAATCTATTTAGATTATATTTATGGGTGCTGAAAAGATTTATTGAAGCATAATTAATTACTTATATATAATTTAAAATAAATTAATCGTTTATATTTATAATCCCTATAAATTTGATTCAATTAATATTTTAAACACAATTTTCTAAAAATATCTTATTACAAGTTAAGCTTAGTCTATTTAATATCGTAATTGTAAATGAATCAAATAATTTTTACGAAAATAAAAAATCCGTGGGGTTTTTTCCTGGAAAATAGTTTCAAAGGGGGTTTCCTTTCATTCATTTTCAAATAGATGGAAGGTCATTTTTTTTAACCAATAAAAAAATCCTACAAATTGCCTCTTACCGTTTATTTTATTTCAACATTTATAAACATTAGACATAAATGTGTAAATAATTATATAATAGCAGAGCCGTTGCCATGGGGACTGCCACTCCTCTAAAAAAAAATTCGAACCCTAAGTCTAACCTATGAACTTTTATATGGCCCAGAAATAACCTCCTCAAATTTAAAAAATATTAGTTATTAAATTTTCATTCGTCGTTAACTATTAAATATAAGTGAAAAAACAACAAAATTCTTATAAAAATATTTTATTTAACCAAATTAGATGAAAATGTGAAATAATTAATATAATTTGTTATCAAAAATTCATTAGCTCATTAACCATTAAATTAAAAAACAACATGATATCCGCATTTTTTAGTCTTCTTTAAAGGGACATTAGTATTGGCGAATTCAGTTCCCGTAATTATTTTTCTCAACCTCTTCTTGAATATGGTAATTTAATGTCAAAAAAGTCTTCAAATGATTCGAGTTCCATTCAAATTCTAGATGACCTTGGCCAGGATGCACCAAAATATATCAAAAATGTAAGGTAAATCCTTTCAAAAGACATGGTATAGAGTCGAGACTGATTGAAATAGAGTGTTGAAGCTGTTGCTGCCTTTAGAAGATTCCTGGAATCCAAGTGATGAAATCCTTAAAAAAGGATTTAGCAATTGGAAAAACGCTTTAGCTGCAAAGAAAGGGCTGTTAAAATATGAATCCTCAAAAAGTAATTTAAAATGGTAAAATAATAAGGCTTGATAGAAATTGTAATATAAAGAGGTAACGAAAATATCCCTAATTTTGGTACATCATTAAGTTGAGTGTAATCGAAATTATTTGAAATAGATATTTTTGAGACACCTTCTCAGCATACAAGAGCCCCCTTTTCGGGGGATTGGTTCCACTACAATTCTTCAAGATTTTTCATTGCAATATTTTAATACATTGGCAAAACGATAAAAAATTAACAATATAAAAAAATGTCCAATACATATCACCTAAAATTCAAAATGAAGACATATCTATTATGGCGGAACTGGTGTTTAAATCTATCTAAGCATATTATAACAAAAACCAGATGTCCTTTTTTTATCTTAAGGCTGCTGAGCAACTGTTGGGAAATTTTGAGTTTAATTATTCGGTATTTTTTTGTGGAGAAATTCAAGAGAATTTAATAGAAATAATTGATTTTAGCTTTTCTGCAGAAAACATTACAAATTATATTTTAAAACGACTAAATAATTTAAAATTTAATTCATACAATATAAGCCAGACGTATGATGGTGCAAGTGTCCTCATCAATGGAGCAGTACAGACCTAGTCCAAAAAAATTAATAAAATGGTACCCTATATATTATTGCTCCTATCTTAAGTTTTATCTTGTTAATAATCGGTATCAAAATATTACTGTAATTTTTTATTTTTAATTTAGCAAACGCATTGTACAATTTTTTAGGCGTTTTATCCATCATGTAAATATACAGGCCATACACTTAAGAGACTTTTAGACCAGAGATGGACTACTTATTAGACATTTCATATCATTTATGAAAATTTTGAGGCTATTGGTGTATACTATTTTACTTTTCCAATAGAACTCTTTTCGTAGGTTTCCACTAATGATTCAGTTGAAGCTATTGGTCTTTTATGTCAATTAAATAAGTATCATCAGTCAATAGTCAATATACTAATATAGTAGATGCTAAAAATTGTTTTGAATATACAATTTATATATTAAAGTATGCTAAAATTAATTCGACATAAAGATTAAGGCTGAAAATCCTTTATCAAAAATCTTCATGATTTTTTGGATTATATCAAAGAACTATATTTGGAGTCCTTTAAAGGGAAATTATTATGAAATAATTGATTATTTTTGGAAGGATTTATAGACGATGATTATAATTTTGTCTTTGTTTTAATTCATTGTCCCCCCTTTTCCCAAATTATTTTATTGCAAATAAGGTGGCCGCAATAGCATACTTATTAAACTTTGATATTGAATTTGAAACATTACATCTTGAAATGAAAATCGCAAAGAGATTATTAGCGGCTGAAGTAGCAGAAAGATATGATTTTAAAAATATTATTAATATTATATAAAAAGGGTATCATATTAAAATTAAAGTATATAATTCAGCAGCTACTATCATTATTAGCAGAAACCTGCAGGCCCGGCCCTAAACCCGGCCCGGCCGTATTTTAAACTTTTTAAATATACCCGGGCCGGGCCTAAAAAAATTTTTTTAAACATATCCGGGCCGGGCTGGGCCTGAAAATTTTTTTTCCTAAGATTGTTAAACCCGGGCCGGGCCTTAATATTTTTTATAAAAATTTTTACATTATGAGTTAATGGTTATAAGATTATATTATATTATAGTTATGATTAATATAATATTGAGTGATGGTTAACACTACCTAACACCCACAAATCGATCTAATTATTAATTTCCTGCAAATTTATTCAAAGTATTAATATATTTTTTTATAATTCATATCTAAATTTTTACAACATATTTTACCAAAACAATTAAATAAAGGAATATCTTAAATAAGCCCCAATATTCAAGTATTATTAATATATTTTTTTATAATTCATATCTAAATTTTTAGAATATATTTTACCAAAACAATCAAATAAAGGAATATCACTTCTTGAAGTTTGTAATACCTTTCAAAGCGAAAAAGGAGAAATAAAATTGATTTTACTTAATATAAAGCATTTTTTAATTGAAAATTTGTTTTACACAAGTATCATTTTATTTCTCTTTTTCTCTGTCCCAAATTCAAGCAATTACGAATGTTGTCAGGGACAGATCGCAAGATGACGGAAAACTATATAAAAGATTATATTAAATTACAAGAGGCTCAGGAAGTAAATGAAATACCATAGACCAGTCAAATTACGACTGTTGTTAAACAAACTGAATCGTTTTATGACAAATGGGGCGATGGTAATTCTGGTAATATGTCAATACCCGATGATGAATATTATAATTACATAAATAAAAAAATAGATGAAACATTTAAGGTGGATAATTTGTTAGAGTGGTGGGCGGCTCATCAAAGCGAATTTCCAATTTTAGCAAAATTGGCAAAACGAGTATTGGCAATTCCTGCTTCAAGTGCAAGCTGTGAGCGGAATTTTACCACTAATGGGAGAATTCTTGAAGAAAGAAGAGTAATCTTCAACCTGAAAAGGTAGGTATGCTTCTCTTTCTTCATGATAATTTGTGAATTTTTAATATCTTACTTGAGTATAGGGTTTTGTCAATCATGCTGGTTTTTTACTTTGCAAACTGTCAAATATTTATTGCATTTATTATATTTACCTTGAGTCATGAAAGTTTTTAATCCAACATTTTTCATTATTTTTTTTTACAATATTATATAATATAATTATCTTCTTTTGTTAAAAATTTATATTATAAAATAAATTATATTAATATTGTGCAATTAGATTATATTTTCAAAATACTATTTATTATACATGCATTTTTTTAAATAGCTATTTATTTTTATTTTATAAATTAAATAGTAAATTTAATACAATATATTATATTCTCAAAATATTTTCCATTTTTATAAATTAAATATTAGTTTTATTTTTTTTAAATGCAATATAAAATATAGTATATGCTCAAAATATTATTACCATTTTTATGAATATTAGTTTTATTTTTATAAATGCAATATAAAATATAGTATATGCTCAAAATATCCATTTTTATAAATAACAGTTTTAAAATTTTTATAAATTCAATATAATATTCTCAAAATATTAGCTTTTTACATGTATTTTTTAAATAATAAGCGATAATACTCGCTGAAAAATATGGTAAAATACCTCATAGGTGAATTTTTGTATATACCAGGTCGAATATAATTTTAAAAAATTCCGAGCCGGGCCTGAAATTTTTAAATCCGGGCCGGGCCGTAAAAATTTTTTTAAAAATATCCGGGCCGGGCCTTAAATTTTTAAATCCGGGTCGGGCCGGGCCTAAAAAATTTAAAACCGGGCCGGGCCGTGCAAATGGTACCTCTGCAGGTCTCTGATTATTAGGTAACAACTTCTTGTGAAGCCTCATTCTACACTCAAGAGAGTTTTATCGAGCACCAGATAATCGTTGAAAGATAAAAAATATTTAGTTTTAATGGTTTATGAAAAAAAATACCCAAAATTTGACTTTTAATTCATATGTTGATATTTAAAAATAAAAATTTGCCTTTATAAATTTTATATAAAAATAATAAAAAATTTCTACGAATATCTAATTGTTTTATTTCAAAAAAATATTGCATTCCCTCCCCACCTCCCAACTGGTAATTTCTAGCTACTGGCCTGTACAATATAGATGAAAAATATACTTGGGCGTCCTGATTGTTCCTTTTTACATGATTTATTATGCATTCTAGGGCGTATAACCAGTAATTTGTTTCGATATGATCGGTGGACAAGCTAACAATGTTTAAAAGAAATTAAGTGGCTGAGTATGAAATACAACCCGAATATATTCTCAACTTTCATTGACAATTTTAAATATTTTGGCTAGTGGTTTTTAGATAAATATAACTTTTTATTTTTAAAATATAAATAAACAAAATATTTAAAAGTAGACTAATTTTTAATTTTTTTTAAAATTATTCCAAACCGTGTAAATAAATTATAAAAAATCCTAATGTGACCAAAATAAATAACAACTTTTAAAAATGGTAAACATATGTTAAAAAATATTTACTTTAAACTGGCGACAATGCAACGCTGCATAGTTGAATTATCTAAGGTCAGATTATGTTCAGATAAAATGCGTTCCGAAAATTGCATTTTAAAAATGTAATCAATCAAAATATCTAAAATAATTATATCCTCATCATTATTATTGGAAGGTATATGGCTTTGGAGGAACGTGTACAAGCTAGATTTTGAGTCTGTCAATTGATTTAGGTCACAAAAATTGCATATGATCCATTTCAAAAATAAAGATATTCTGGGATTAAATACGCATGCATTGGGATTTGTAAGATCATCTAAATTTAAAGAAGAAATAAGAAAATGTATAAAATTCAACATCTTTATTATTAATTTTAAAATCTCCAACCTATTTTCAAACCTTGTCCATGGTTCATTACAGATATTTTTGAAGATTTGGGGATAATGGAATACATTGTACTAAATATATCTAATACTGGGTGAAACATTGTTGTTTTAATCGCTGAATGTTTTTCAATGCAATTTATTGAAAGGAAATCTTCTGATAATTTTTTAATATTACCGAAATTTTTACGAGTATAATTAGATTTAACAAATGATTTGATATTTCTCAAAGTGTAATTGGTTAATCGAAGCTCCCCGGAGTGAGTTAAATATACAATGTGATCGTAACTAACCCATTGAACATCGATAATTGTATCGAATGGTGACGTGTTTAAATGTTCGAATAATAAGACATTCTTGAAATAAAATTATAAATAATGGATTAAATTTTATCAAAATATTTAGATTTTAATAATTATCAACGTTCCAATAATTAAATGATTCAGCATATATTTTTTGATTACAAGTGCAGTGTAAGGCCTAAGAATGTGCAAAAATATTGTTTAATTTATTTTCATTTGGCCTCAATTGATTTAACAGAGATCTGCAGTCCCTGTTATACGGGACGGGCCGTAAGAATTTTTTAAATAAATCCGTACCGCCCTGGCTCTAAAAAAATTTTTAAAACTCGGGTCGGGTCTATAAAAAATATTTCCCAAAAATAACCGGTAGGGCCTAAAAATCCTTCTTTTTAAAAATAGCCAGGCTGGGCTGAATATTATAAGTCACAACTATTATATAAAATATAAAAAAGTTAAAAATGAATAAATAAAATTAATTTAAAAATTGTCATCATAGAATATTATATCACATTCATTCACTCTTGATATTTAGATTTCAAAATCATTTTACCGATCGTTAGAGAATACTTAATAGGTAAAATAAAGATAAAATATTTTACAAATTATTCAAATAATTATAATTATTTAGACGAAATTATAAATTTTATACCTACCAGTAAAAGTTATTAGATATTAAATTATATTTTCTAAAAAATGAACCGTAAAATGCCGAATAAGTATATTTTTCTAAAATCAAAACCAAATATTATTTTTATAAACTTAAAATCTTTTTTATGTAGAGGGTCGTAAAAAAATTTTACATCAAAGCTGGCAGTAAATTTTTTTGAAAAATAAATCTGGAGCGGGCTTAAAAATTTTATTGAAAAAACGGGAAAGGTTTGAAAATTTAAAACCTGGTAGGGATTAAAAAAAATTTTGAAAACCCGGGCTGGACCGAGCAATAGCTGACTCCACGTCAATTCTGCGTAGCCTCAATTTGGCGCGGCGATAAGCGATAATTTGGCACGGTGATAATTTGGAGCATACAACATCTGCAATTTATTCTAAACTTATTAGTATAAAAATAGAATGATTAAATAAAATTCATATTGAAATTTCCTATTAATTATTCTTCATAATTTTTTTACAAAAATTTATTTCTTCATATTTTTTTTACAAAAATTTATTTACTAATTCTGTAATAACAATAAAAAATTTAATAATATTAAAAAAATTAACAACCAATATATACCGATTTTTTGGTGGGCCAAATTACCACATTATAAGGTATGTTGATTAGTAGCCAATATTATGTAAGCCTTGAGATTTTGTGCATAGATGTAAGAAAGGTATGGACCTCTATCTCGAATCTTACATATAATTTTGGCTAAAATCTTATAGGCCATTTTTTTCTATTATATAATCAAAAACGAATTATCGCGCAATTTTTATATTAATATATTATAGGTATAGTGATGTACCTGTAACTATTTACATTTTGGCTAAAAAATAACTGTAACTAGTTATATTTTTAAAATTGTAACTAGTTAAAATTTTTGAAATGTAACTGCCAAAAATAACTAGTTACTTTTAAAGATATATTCAAATAATTAATTTTATTTTAAATATGTTGTGATAAATTAATTTTAAATTAAATTTATTAATTTAGAATTTTGTGAAAATGTCTGATTGTTCCCAACAATAACACAAATACTTATATGTATAGTAGATGTGCAGGGATTAAAATATTGTCAGCCTCTAAAGGATACTATATTAGCTAGTATTGAAAAAAGGTAACTAAAATCAAATAATTATTTATAAATTAATAATATCATGTTATAGGTTTAATAATCTTTATGATAATGACAACATCATTGTTGCAATTCTTCACCCTTTATTTAAAACTGACTGGCCTTGGATTAGGCAAGAAAGGAATAAAACAAAAAAGGAGGAAATTTTAAATTTAATAAATACCTTAATACCTCAAAGTTAATCCAAGACGAATGAATCATGCTCAAAACCAACATCACTTGATGTAGTTGGATTTTTTGACCTAAAGCGCCAAAATATTCTGGATAATGAACTTATAGAAAACTTTATCAAATCTAATAACAACACTTTTTCTTTATATAGCGTTTTTCCAAAGTTAAAATTACTCTTTATTAAATATAATGTTGTTCTAACATCAAGTGCTCCCGTAGAGCGCTTATTCAGTCTAGGTAAGCTCATTTTTGGAGAAAAACGAGCACGTCTCCTAGATAATAACTTTGAAATTAATTTGTTGTTAAAAGCAAATAAACATTTATTAGATTCTAATTTTTATGAAAAATAAATGTTTTTTTTTCAATGCAAATATATATTTTATTCAATTTTGCGATATTTTTTTATATAAATAAATTGTACATTATTTTAAATAACTGATTAAACTTTGTTTATCCTAATTTTTTTTATATTAAATAAATGCTTTCAATAAATAAATAATGCGAATATGAAGGATGTATAAAGTAAGTAACTAGTTACTTTTGAAAATAACTGTAACTAATAACTAGTTACTTTTGTAAAAATGTAACTAGTAACTGTAACTAGTTATGTTTCAAAAGTAACTTTTAAATTGAAATTTTAAATATGCTAATTGAAAATAAAATTATAAAAGTTTAAAAAGATAATATAAACCCCTAATAAATATGATAAGAATAACTAAAATTATGTTAAATCTTAAACCCCCCTTTTCCCTAAATAGACAACAAAAAAAATAAATAAAATACCAAAGTTTAAAAAAATAATATATCCTCTCTGATAAATATTATAAGAATAACCATATGTTAAATCATAAATCCCTTTTTTCCCACCTAATTTTAGACAACAAAAAAAATAAATAAAAGTTTAAAAAAATAATATACCCTCCCCCCTCCTGATAAATACTATAAGAATAAACAAAATTAGGTTAAATCTTAAATCCCTTTTTTCCCGCCTAATTTAAGGCGACTAAATAATAAATAAAATTTTATTTTATTTTAGGATTTTCTCTTTTTTGTTCAATAATTTTAAAGAATTCAATCATTATTATTCTCAATAAATAAAAATAAAAGGTTACGATATAAATTTTATAATATAAATTAAACATAAATCCAATAAATCTCCTTTTTCTTATTTTTTTCCCTCCTAACTTTAGACAACAAAGTAATAAATAGAATTATATTTTATATTAAAATTTTGTGCTTTTTTCATTTTAAAAAGCTTGTAAAAAAACTTTAATATTTTTCATTTCTTTTTATAATTTAATCTTTATAATTTATTTCCATAATTTAATCATTATAAATTGAGAATTCCTATTTAAAGGTAAATATTAAAAATCTTAATTCTGTATATCATTTATAATTTTTTATATTATAGTTTACTTTTATTTTCAAGAATGCCTTTAACCCTTCACTACAAAGGTGGGGTAAATAGGACCCCACAACTTTTATAATCTTTGTAATACAAAAGCTAGAAGATATTCCGACCTGATTTTTTCAGTAGTTTAATATTTTGTAACAAGGAATACAACTTCCAAATTTCATGATTATTGATTTGATAGTTTTTGAGATATATGCTATTTGTTGAGCTTGGGGTAAAATATACCCCACCTATGTAATGATGTAATTTTTTTTTAAAATCCAATTTTTTTTTGTTACTAATTATATTTATGTATGTCAGGTTAATAAATATAATTGAAAAAAATATAATTATATCTATTTTTTGATTGATATATATGACTTTAAATTTGAAAATTTTATATTATTTATTTTTTCGGTGAGTGACATTTTATACTTTGAAAATAGAATTATATGCTGGCAATCAGCCTGAAGGACCCCCTATTATTTATTTACATAAATACATTATATTACGCTAGTTATACTTCATTGTTTATTTTCTATTACTTGCTGTAAAATTTTATTTGTACTTCTAATTAATCCGAAAAATGGTTAGACCACAACGCAACGTCCAAGGAACCTTTGCTGGAAACAGGCCTCCGCTAGAAGCCGCTAACCTGCCGTTAGGACAGCCTCCAAACTTAGATGGCACTAATCTTATTCTCACGCCAGATAACTCTATGGACGCTTTTCCGGTTGATCCTAGTACTCGCGCCATCATCTTGGCGATGAACGCCATATCTGACCGCATGGCAGCGCTTTCGACTCAAGTCAACCAGGATCGACAGCGGCAACGTACCCCGTCACCGAGACACACGTCTACGCCAAGGGAGAGACTCCCAGTAGTGATTGGTACACAAACGGAAGGAGCAACCATACCTACACCGGCTCCTGTATTACCTCCGATTCCGCTCGAACCGCCCGCAACGTCGGCTGAAGCATACGACAGACTTATGAAAGTCTGGGCGGGTTTGCAACAAGATCTCCTCGAGCCCAGATGCAAAGCAAATGATAGGGACCGTCATGAGATAAAACACATGGCTGATGTACTGGAACTCCTGTCGCCGGATTCCGACATTAGAATGTTGAAAGTGCAAACCAAGAGAATCCGAGTATTAGCCTTAGCCATCCACTGGAACTGGAAAACGGCCAGGAATATTGATGCCTCCTATCAAGAAAAATTCTTATGTGGAGAAAACATTACTGTCTACCAAGATCTAGCGCCCTTTCGGGATAGGGGCCGAGGAGGCCCCTCCACAAGCTACCGTAGACGCCCCGAAAGGAAGGATGCGGCCCCCGCCAGGGGCAAGAAGAGGAAGTAACGATAAGATCGCGCTTCCGAAACCACTATCATCTCCCTCCTCTACGCTACCTCTATCTCTTCTTCCTCCTTCTTCTTCTAACCCACCGGTACATCCAGGGGTTACCGGTCCGAGCAACGGCCCACCGGCTCGAAGGGCGGGAACATCGCAACCTCCTACATGGCTGACTACCGTAAACCAATTCCTTAGGAAGTTGAGGCATCAGATGTTTTCACCAGACACTGACAGGGACAGTGATGCGACGGATTCAGTAATAGTAAACAATCCTACCCCTGCGCGCAATATCCCTGAAGTCAGCCTCGGACGTCCCCTCCTTCCTCTCTGAGGATTCCGGGATCCC